AAAGGAGAGACAGCTCTTCCTGCATCTGGAGCTTGTGAAGGACTTCTAGTCATGCAGGACTCCTGTTCACTGCTAAACAGTTACAGCTTCACAGAAAGAACCTTGAGAGCAAACTGCTGCTGAAGCTTAACCATCACCTCACTGAGTGAAGAAATGGCACATTTTTGCTAAATATGCAGAAATAAATGCACACCCATACAATTTATGGTAAACTGAGCTGCCTTGTATGAACATATGTTGAAGATGCCTCGTTCTGTTTTCTCTGAGGCTGCTGTGCCATTTGGAGCAAAAATGAATATAAAGTTTACAGCATATCTTGTCACTGGAAATTGTTTGCACTGTTTATATATTTATATTATTTACTGTAGGTATTGGTGAAAAAAGCTTTATGTTGTGAAAAACTGAAATCTGGAAATTAGAATTGTTGTGCCTTATTTTGTTGATGTTTTTACATATATTCCTTTTGAAAATGGTAAAATTTGTACATTTATTTATTTCTGTTTGTCTGATAGCATTTATTTATAAAATAAATCGGACATTTGAAACAGTTACTCGCTACTTGAGTAGTCTTTTCGCCAAGTACTTTTTTACTCTTACTTGAGTAACTTTTTTGACAACTACTTTTCACTTTATTTGAGTAATAATATTTTAAAGTAATGCTACTCTTACTTGAGTACAGTCTTTGGATACTCGACCCACCTCTGATACGATGAGGAAGTATACTCAAAAACAAACCACTGATAATCACTTATAATATTTAAATCCCCACTAAGATGGATCAATTACAAAAATCCTATAGATACAAGAGTAAACTTTCCCAACATGGCTGAAAATACTATTTAACGTGCAGCTTTAGATGACAAACTCATTATACACATAAAACAACACATAAAACAAAATCTCTACAAACTCTAAAAGACAAAATGCACAATCAGAGAAACACACAGCAGCAGGCCTCTCTTCATCCCTGTTTAGCACAGGTGAAAAACACATAAATAGGTGTTATAATGGATAAAAGTCAGATTCAATTACTATTTTTCCCTTTAAAAGTAATCAAAAGCACTTTGGGGACATTTAGCTCTAAGAACGAACACTTAGTAAAGCAACACCAAACTTAAACTTATAAGTTAGGGAGAGGACCTACAGAGAATGTGCCTTACTGGTGTGGAGATAATGCAACTCTGGCTGGGAACCTCCACATATGCAACATGTTTGCTAGCGGTGTCCCACTGACTAATGCCCCCGACAACATTGACATGTGGAACCTTATTATTACAAAAATTCAATTTAAATAATAAAAAATAAAATCTATGCAATGCAGTTTTGTGAAAGTTCACTGTGACTCACACATTATTACATAGTATATTATAGCTGCAGCTACATACTACATATATACATATAAATATATAAATAACATTATGATTTATGATTTGCTTCAAGATATGTTCTCTAACTGCACCTTTAGAGGAAGCTAATGTCTTCCTTCTCATTCTCTCCGTCACTACCCAGAGCTTGTGACCACACAAGGGTAGGAAGATAAATCAACCTGCCAACAGAGAGCTTCACTTTCACACTCAGCTCTCACTTCACTACACCACACTGGTCCTGCATCCATATCACTGCAGATGTCACACAGTATCACCCAATCCACCTGCCAATCTCCCACTCCACTCTTGCCACAAGATCCTTAAAATCCTGTGCTTTGGGCCAGAACTCATCCCTAAAACACAGTTATGACTTCAACAATTATCCAGTGTCAATCACGGCTCAGAGTTAGAGGTGCTGATTCTCATTCCCTCCTCTTCACACTCAGCACCAAATCGCCTCTATACGAGCTGGAGTCCACCATCTTATAAAGTAAAGGGTGCAGGAAGCACAACTGTGTTTCACCAATAACTGTAAGTTATCAGATTTCCATGCTAACTCTGCCTTGCTGAGCTGCTTGCTTCCTCTTAGTGCTTCCTTTATTTGACTTACACCGTTAATTCTGTAAAACACATTCAAGTCTATAAACAGCTGCTTTGTTTGCAGCTTTGCTCTGCTATCTAAAAATGTAGCCAAGGAAATGAGTAACTAAGTGTGTAAGTGTGCTTTTTAGTTACTAAGTGTAGCTAAAAGGCACTTTCATTATTTATTAATACAGCAGTTACAATTACTTGTAAGAAAACAGAGAGGAGCTGAGAAAGGGGGCTGGACTTCATCTCGTCACACGGTCACTTCTGGTTAAGGACACATTTCTACTTTAACTTGTGCACGCTTACTTTCTGTGAGTGAATTTATGACCAATCTAAGATGTCACCACAGTGGAAAGATATGTTAAAGGAATCTGCATTAGTTTAATGAAATAAAAATAAAATTACTGTCAGTTCTTGATTTCACTGCTGTATGAGAAAGTGTGTGGATTACCAACATCTGCTGTGAACATTTGCTGTCAGTAAGTATGACATCTCTGTTTATCAGCTGGTATGGGGGCTCACCTCAAATCCATTTAATGTATATTTGAAGCAATGTAATGATTTTGTACATCAATATTTAGTGTATCGTCATCTCCTTGTAAAGGAGCAGCAGAAAACTCAATGACTACATCTGTGACAGGAAGGGAATGGTAAAAGTTTATTGTCTTGGTGGTGTTTAATCAGTTGTCTTCATTTATGCATCTACTGCAGTTTAAAACGATCTGAATGATGTGTACATGTAGTGTTTATGAGGGTAATTATTACTGGTGATAAAGCTCCTAATAATCAAACCAAGCATACAAGCAGCAGACAAAGGCAACAAAATATCCGTCGCTGCTTCTGTCGGACCTCAGTCAAATTTTAATAGAATAGAATAGAATAGAATTCAACTTTATTGTCATTGCACATGCACAGGTACAGGGCAACGAAATGCTGTTTCGTAATGCATGTAATGCCCAAGTCTGGAGTTATTACAGTATATACAAAAAGTCCATAGACAGCACTCTAAGCAACCAGGAAAAACTTATTACTAACCTGTTACTTTATTATCTAATGCTTGATAGATATTTGTTAGCAATCTGAATCTGAGCAATGTTTCTCGTTGTGTTTCTGGGCTGTAAAATGAACTAAAGTACTTCACAAGTTAAAGCTTGTCTTTGACTTGTGTTTTTCTCATTTTGGGCACTTAGTCAAGCTATTATTATTTAGTTTCAGTATATATATATTTTTTACAGCCGTTCTGATAAAAATCTGCCTGATATGTTTCTGCAGGAGAGTATAAATGTATCACATGATGTGGTGGTCAGACCTATGTTAAGTTGTTATTTCTGTGTAAAAGGAAGGAAGCAGAGAGAAGTTTTAAAACCTCTTTGTTTCCTTCACAGCTCTTTGGTATCTGCTGTGCTGCTGCTTCACTCTCTCTCTTTACAGAAAGTTGTAGAAGTTTTCAGACGTGTCACTGCTGGATGTGAGGATGGGAGCCACTTTGCTCTGTGAGCTGGGCCTATTCTGTGAGTACATCACTGACTCCTATTTTTCGATTCATACTGATCCATAAACATGTTTTAGTAAAAAGAACAGAGCATCAGTCGTTTGTACCATTGCAGGTCATGTGATCAGAGAACTCTCATGTTTGTTACCAACATGGTTGTTTTTAGACTGGATTAGATTTTAGTGCACTGACTCAGATCAGAGTGGAGCTGGTTTAGTTTATCTAAGAAAGGTTTCTTTTCTCCATCAGTGATAATTTGATGCTGATTAAATCGTAATACAAAATGTAACCAATAATAGTAGACAATGATAAAATGCATAAGGGCAGTGATTAAAGCCAGTGCTAGATTTTAACAGCATTTTATTGCAGAAATATTCTTCCTTAGTCAAGGTATAAAGAGTACTCGACTAATCCTGCTCCTGACTAAATGAAACTTGCTTCCTAAAGGAAGATTAGAGCTCGCCCAGCCATAAATGGAGATTTAAAAAAGAAAACTCCCAGTAGGCAGGTTTAACTTCAGATGAATGTTATTTGCTATGACACATAAATATGTCAAAAATAATCAACAAATACCTCCTTCTAGACAAATTCTTGTTGACAGAAGTGACCCACTGCAATTTGTCAATGGCATTAATTTTTGAGATTTTTTTCTAATACATAAAGTAAATACTGGGGAGATCATTTCCCTTTTGGACCCCAGTCTTTCACTGGCTGTCCAAAGAGGATTGCCTGTACCATTTCAGGTCATGTGATCAGAGGACACTCATCTCTGTTATCACCATGTTTGTTTGTAGACTGGATTAGATTTTAGTGCACTGACTCAGATCATAGCAGACATTGAAAATCTCCCAGTGTTTTAAGGAGTTTGGTAAGAAAGCGACTGGACTTTAAACACTAGTGGGATTGTTCCTTAAGAAGGTCATTAACTCACTATTGATCATGTGCCTCAAGAAATGAGACACATCATTACCAACAGTTTTTTTTATTTATGTTACATTTTGGTGTCTTTAGTTTGATAATGTCTGAAGTTTCTGTCTTTATTGTAGTGCTCTGTACGCTCGTCTGCAGTGGACACGCTCAAGGTGACTGAACAGTTTTCCTTTTTCTATTTCTTCCTTTTTATTTAATAAAGATTATTCTCAACCTGTATGACTCTAATGCAGATCCTATTTGTGTTTTTCAATCAATGTTTTGCCTTGAGCATTAAATAAGTGTTTCAGATTGCTAATTGTCTGTTTGTGTTGGATTCTAGATGCTGTGCTAACTATTGAACCCAGCTGGTCCAGTTATTTCATTGGAGAGTTTGTTACCTTAAAGTGTAACATGAATGAAGGAAGAGACACTGACTGGTATTATGCAAGCAACAAGAATGGTAAAACGTATTTCATCTACTGGAAGAACGGAGACTACAGATTAAAACTTGGCTCGACATATGACAGTGGTGAATATCAGTGCTCTGGTACCTGGAAGGAGTCAAATTATACAAAGAACAGTAATACTGTCTCTTTAACTGTATTAGGTAAGTCCTCAGTGATTAATAATGTGATGATTCCAGTTAAAATTCTCATCTGAATTATAAAAAAAATCTGTTTAATAAATGTTTCATTGAAACTATTTTATTTCTGATGTATTGAAACATTGAACTTTAACCATGACCATTGTATTTTACCTAACTTTGTTCACAGTACACACTACAACCAAAATACTCATGTGCATGTTTTAATGTATAACAAGAATAACTGTGGATGAAATGTAATTTAAATAATGAAAAAAGAAACATCAAAGCTCCACATAATTTAAGGTGACGATGTTTCTGTTGTCTAAATGTGAAACCAGGCAGATCCCTCTGAACCCATCGTGTTTTTCCTTCAACAGTGAACTTCATTAGTTTACATTCAGTGTGACTTCTTCAGGCCAAAGAATGGACAAACATTTGAAATGTGCTTATTTAGAGATCTACAACCTGAATTACCCAACTAACCTCAATATTGTAGCTCTCTCACCACATTAGAAAAAATTAAAATGATCTTAAACTGTATTTAAAAAATAAATTTAATTAGGATTAGCATTCAACTTTATTGTCACTACACATTTATAAATACAGGTTAAGGAAATACAGTTTGCATCTGTTTAGAGTGCAAGAGTAGTAAGTGCTAAAAAATAGGAGCAATTATATACAGATAAGGGTAGTATAAATAAATGGTGGGATAGTTATGAACAGATTATGTACAGAGAGAGCAAATATACAGATGACCTACAGACATATGTACAGATATACAGATGATCTATATAGTATACAGATGTTCTGTATTGCTATACAGACAGGCAGAAATACAGATGTACTATGAACAAATATAAAGCTTTGCTAAATATATACAGATGTGCTACATATGGTAAACAGATCTACAGAGTGCTATGAATATATTCACAGTGGAAGCATAGCGCTCTGAACAGACTATAATAGTGAACAGTGTACGCACTATACCAGAGACTATACTGGTTCAGTGTCCTAAACTATAGCAGTAACCAATGTAAGCATATGGTGAATGTTGAGAATGAATGACAGTCATGATCATGGTCATTAGGAGGGATGAGTCGGTGTGGATGGAAAGGTTCAGCAGTGGACTGAATTCAGTAAGCTGACAGCTGTGGGGAAGAAGCTGTTCATAAACCTGCTGGTTTTAGTCTGTAGGGTCCTGTAGCGTCAGCTGAAGGGGAGGAGCTGGAAGAGTTTATTGGCAGGATGAGAGGAGTCCCTGAGAATGATGCGTGCTCAGCAAAGACATCTCTTCTTGGAAGTTGGAATTTAAATAAAATGAAAGCATATTTTAAAATGTTGTTCAATGGCTGTGTGTTTTCTTTTCATCTTTTTCATAACAGCAGATAAACCCAGGGCCACACTGACAGCAGGAACAACAATCATACCAGTAGGGGGCAGTGTGACACTGACCTGCTCTGTGCAGAGCTCTGATGGATGGAAATATGAGTGGTTCAGACGAACCCAAACAACCTCTGAAGGTAAAATCAGAGATCAACAAAACAGAGATATCAGAGTATCTCAAGGAGGAATCTACAGCTGCAGAGGAACAAGAGGAAACCCAGTTTACTACACTGATAGAAGTGATGATGTCACCATTGAGATAACCTGTGAGTTCAGTCATTTAGTTTGAAATATACATTCACTCATGATTATCAAACATACAATGTTGAGTTTTCTGTGTTGATTTCATGTTTCTGTTTGTATCTCAACTGTTAATATGTGTAAACAGTTTCCAATAAAGTTGTTGTAAAACAACAACCCAACTGGCCTCAGATATTCAGAGGTGAGACGATCACTCTGACATGTGAGGTGCAGGAAGGAGGTGAAACCACTGAGTGGGAGTATGAATGGAGAGGACCCAGGACACCCACACAGTGGACACACAATAATGATGTGACATTCAGAGTTTCTGAGTCCAGCAGTGGAGACTACATGTGTAAGAGTCGACGCAGAGATGACTCATATTCTTCAACAGAGTGGAGTGAAGCCTTCACATTGTCAGCATCAAGTAAGTCATGTTTGTTGTGTGATCTCCATTTGACAAATGTCATAATGGTCAGCACAGGATGAATTCAATGGTCTACAAAGCATGTTACATTGTTAGTCAGACAAAGAGCTGCAGCTGATAGTAGCCTCATTGTAGACAGTTTGTCACCACTTTGTGTCATGAACTTTCAGCTGGTATAGAGACGCCAATGCTGACCTGCTGCTCCATCACCTGAGGACAATGATGACAGAAATACAAAAACAGAAAAAAACTGACAAGGTGGAAAAATTATTATTACAAACAAACACTGAGGTGATGTCTGTGGAAATTCAAAGTGGACAGAATGTATGGGGTGAAGATGTAGCATATTAACCATATTACATTATCATTTTTATAATAGATAGTAAGATTTATATATTTTTTTTAATTACTGGTTGTCTTTGTGATTAATGGAGTTACAAGAAGTAATGCAATATTTTCCTTGTTCAGTTGCATTACTGTTGAAGATTTTTCTTCTTTCTCTTTTTGTCAGGAAATTGATGCTTTCAAAGACTTCATTTAAGAACAGTGGTAGATAAATCATTGCATTTTGTTGTATTGATGGAACGAACAGTGATGTGTGACTTTTTGATATTAGTGTGTATTTTTGCAACAGGAAGTTTATAGATACAGAGAAATATATTGATGTGTTTCTTCTGGTCATGTAGGAAGAAGACTATCCGCTAATCAAAGCAAACTTGCCATGAACAAATAATCTAAACAAATGAAAGTCTGAAATTAGAAATCTCATAAATAAAGTGTTTCTATTTCAAATTTTTCTGTGCAGCTACTAGTTAGACTACTACTAGTCTGGGAATTATAAACTTCAATTGGGAAGAAGTTCTGTGTCTTCTGTTGTGGTACTCTTTTATAAATCCAGAGAAGAATCATAATGAAACAGAAAAAAATAAACACTAAAAGAATAAAATGCATTATCGGCCTCTGTAAGAGCACTCATACCATTTCAGTTTGCTCTTATTCCTTCCTATGTGTTGTTGGAAACTGGAGAGCAAGTTTATTCCCAACAACATACAGGCACATGCAGATTACATCAGACTGGTGTGATCCCAGCCTGTGTGTGGGGTATATATTCATATTTTCTTTGTGTCTTTGTTTAAACTCAACAGCAGATCAACCAAAGGCCCAAATAACTTCTGATATGAGAGACATTCCAGTAGGGGGCAGTGTGACCCTGACCTGCTCTGTGAACCCATCATCATCATCTGGATGGAAATACTACTGGTACAGAGATGAGAACTCCTCTGAACCCCTGACCACACAAGATGCAGTTTTCCACTCAAATGAACAAATCAGTGTCTCACAGGAAGGACTCTACAAGTGCAGAGGAGGAAGAGGAAACCCAGTTTACTACACAGAGGACAGCCAAGAAGTCAGCATTGATACAAAGGGTGAGTTTATAATATATTATTTAACTTTTTTTAACTTATAACTTAGGTTCAGTTTAAAACGTATGTTTCTTATCCACAGTAGATGTCCCGAGTCCTGAAATCTCTTCATTTCCTATTCTGATAAGCATTGGAGCAATTTCTGGAATTACATTTATTTTCATCCTGCTCTTGTTGTATTGCTGTAAAAAGTTCAAAGGTGAGATTTTCATATTTTTCTTCTAATATTACATATTTTATATCTTAAATGATTAAATACACAGATGCAGCATTGAGTCATAAAATGCAAACTGTTCACAAGAATGTATAATCCACAACAACATAAAACAAACATCTAATTTTACATTTTTAATAAAGGTGCTGCTAATGAGCAGACGCTGAGTCAGGATGAAGATCAGAAGCAAGTGTACTCCTCTCTTCTTCATGGTTAGTTTTTCATGCAGTTTCAAATATTCTGATGCTATTTGCAACAAGACTGTACTTGTTACATCTGCTGCAGCTTTTAATATAAATGTTATTTGTAAGAATATTTGTGTTTAAGTTAGTATCACAGACATGAGGTGACTGATTTTCTCTGACCTGCAGGTGATCGTTGTGTCTATGAGACAGTCAGAAAATGTGAAAACACTGAAAATGGTAAAGTTTACACTTTCATTAATACAGAGCTTGTGGAAGCTGGATGATGATACAAAAACTGTGTTTAACATGAAAGTCAATAAGATTCTTATTTCAGGTCCAGCAGAAGGTGATTACAACAATGTCACATCTGTGATTCAGCTCAGTCATTAACAAGACAAGTGAGTGCACAAAATGTGAGGTGATGACCATGAGAAAATACCTTGATAATTATCATCATTAATAATTACACTTGAAATGCTTTCATTTGATCACCTCAACAGGGCAACGTGGTGACCCAGAAGAGAGCTCTGACTACAATAATGTCAATCCAAATTCAGCCACAGCTCTTAACAGCAGCTCTTCAGCTGTTTTGTAATTGTCGATTGAGCCAGCACCGAAAATGTATTTAATGGTAAAGAAAGAAGACTCCACAAGAACCACCTGCAGACCACCCTGTGTGATGCTGCACTTGCCAAAAGACAAACTCTTGCAGCACTCCATCCATGTCAGATAAAGTGACACTGCCAGAGACTTCCCATTCAGGCAAACACCAGACCTCTTATATCCATCAGATCACTTGAAATAACTGTACATACTTCTTTCTCCCATCATTTTTTTAAATGTCTTATACTGTAAATATTCTAATTTTATTGTGAACGTTCATTTTAATCAGCTTTCTTATTATTTTAATCTGTTTCATTATAAGTCAAAATTAGTTTTGTTTTGTTTTTTAACCACTTTTTTAACCCTTTAAGACCTACCATAGAACCAAGTCTGCCAGAGCTTATATTATATTTTACATGCTGTAGTACCATTTTGGGAACATTTCAAGTTGCTATACATCAATACAACTGTTATAGCCCATATTTTAATAATATGTATGCATTAAGTCCATAGTAACTACATTAATTGCAAAAAAGTGCAATAAACTACAAAAAAAACCTGAAAATCGTTTTTGTTTTTTTACATATATTTCTGCTTGGAGAAATTTAAGAGGTTTATCCCTCAAAACTTTAAATACAAAAAAGTTGCAAAAAAGAGTTTACAACAGGTATTTTATTTTGAGTGTCTTCATAGTTTTATTTTTGAAATATACCAATTTTTATACACTGCAGGAAAACAGCACGTGCATCAAAATAAACTATTTTCAGCAGTGCAATTTGAGTTCTAAGCATCACAGAAACTATTCAGAAAAGCATAAAGTCAAACATGACTTATAAAAACACAAGTATAGGCTTAAAAAACTATATTTTCTGCAAAAATGATGTCACTTCCGGTTTCGGGCAGGTAATGGCGGACACGCCATCGTTCGCGCTGAATGTGGGAAGTGTTACGAACAGCTGATCGGATCGGCAAAGCGTGTTTCTGAAATATTATGTTTTTGTTCCCGCAAGGGCTTTTTATGCAGTTTTTGCAAAGCTATATGTGGAAGGAAACCGTGACCGAGGAAAAGCTGATGGCATGAGATGTAAGTACAACTCTTCCGGTTTCATATGCAAAAAAAATGATTGCGCTAGCTTATGTGGTTCTGGTTCTACAGGGATTTAAAAATAGTTACGCAAAACCAAGCGTGCCAGCTCCGCAGGGACGTGCAGAGAGGTTTAAAGGGGCGGGTGCTCAAAGTTAAAAAGGGGCA